TTTTGGTTTTGTTTATTGTTTAAATATATGAAAAAAAATTATTCAAATATTAATTATGATAATTATTATTTATAAAACAAGAAATTATTGAAGGACTTTTTTAAAAAACTCTAGTATGCTTGAACTATGTTTGTAAATTCTTCAAGCGTTATAAACGATCCTTGATTACTGTAAAGAAGTTTTGCTGAATATAGATACTGGTTTTTATGGCAGGATTAAACTTTGCGAGAACTTTGTTAATTACATGAACAACTGTGATTATGATAACTATGTTTTCATATATAAAATTAAGTTTAATATCTTTCGTTTGAAAAGAATATCTACGAAATGGAGAAGAATATTTGTACATAAAATGATGTAACATATAATAAATAATTAACGTTTTACACATTATTTTTACTTTTTATTATCATCATGATTCTTTTCTACCCATAATTTAGAAAAATGACGAAAATTTTCTTACACTGTTTTAGAATCTCTCTAATTGTTAATAGTTATATTTAACAATTTTCCCGTTTAATGAGTAAACTAGACGATAAAGTGCGCGCTCAAGATTAAACAATTTAAGCGAAGGCGAAGTCATCGATTTTCCATAACAGTACTTTATAATTTATGAAATTGTTAATTTTCTTCACGTTAACTTGGAATAATATTGCAATAAGAGTAATCGATAGTGAAACTTTATTATGTAAAGATTATATACAATCGCGATCGAAAATTTTTGGAAGTAAATAATATTAAAAAAAAGATTATTGGTATTAAAAATTAATTTAATCTAAAAATTATCTATGCATTATTAATTATATTTATTAGGAATCATTTGTGTTCCGTAAGTAAAGTTGTAAAAGTAAATAATTAACGTCGTTAAGTAAAGTCGCATATTTTTATTAATGAAAATCTTTTAAAATTATAATTTTAATTTCTTTAATATCTTTTCAGTTCAATCTTTTAATTAACCTTTCCGTTCACAATTATGAATCTACGTAACCTTGATTTAAAAATTGCTTTGATATTTCGAGAAAGAGCGCTTCTTTTGGGTATTAAATCTAAAAGAGACTGTTGTAATCAGCGACGAGAATAATTCATATGCAAATGTTGCCGCGCATAATCTTATCGTCGCAGCGTACGTTTGTACTACTACTGAGTAAAGCGAAAGTAGTTTAAAGTAGATATAATCAAACGAAAGAAACTTGATCTTGGGAACTCAACGAAAACATTTGACAATGTTTAATTGAATGTTTTTTTTTTAACAAGCATAACAACATTGTCCTATAAAAAGAGTTTGAGCTTCTAATTATACGTGGAAAAAATATAAAACATTATTCTCGATTATCCAGAATTTATTTTGTTGAATTTAAACAAATGAATGTTATTAATGATATTATTAACATGAAAAATGTAAATCAATCAAACTTGATTAATCTAATCTGACATTATTTGAAGATTATTAATTAGTGAAAAATCAACATTTCTCCTATGTATCGTCTTAAAAGAACACACGTTAGAACACATTTATAGAAATTAGTCGTGAAGCGATCCTGCGATTTTCCTCACTTTTATTGCCAACACACTTTTATTGAAATTGTAGTAGTATAACCAGATATGTAGCCATTGTAGAAGCGATCTGAAAACAATATAATGATTGATCGATTATATAATGAATTTTCCAATATCCGAATAAAGTTGAGCAAGATATTCAATTCTGAATAAATAAAAAATCCTAAAAAATTATAATATTATGTTATATTTGTGAATTAATATATAGTTCGCGATCGTAAAAGCTTGAACTATATATTTTTTCTTCTTTCGCTGTTTGTATGTATGTATAAAAATATACAAAAAGTAAAACATACAAGTTGTTAATTATGTCGTCGATTAAACAGTCGTGAAATATATGCGGAAAGTCACGTTATAACTTAAATATACGGAATACCAGTAAATTTCACAAACAATTTTCCACACGAAAATCGAAGCTTTGCGTTAAGCAGACACTGTCGTGGGAGCTTTGAGGGTCAGGTGCCCTCGAAGCTGTGTATAACTGCATCACTAACCGTGAAGTTTCGCACAACTACCAATTTCAAACAGTAGTGCGCTGACTCGAGTATATACAAGGCTTATTCAGTTTGCGGAATAATGAAATCGAAGGGCGTGTTCTGGCAACGCGATATATGAGCACGTTTACGCTAGCATTTACGGCGCCCCAAATTCCTTCGGGATACCGGCGCCAATTAAACTCTATCACGTCGCAGGTTTTGATATAAAAATATTTGCTGTAATGATCATTTTCACATTTATTGATCGTTTCAGTTCCACTTATTATTATATTGAAAATTCATGTTAAAAAAAATATTTCACTCGACCAATTCCGCAACATGTACATTGAACTATTATATATATATATGAAAAAAAATATTTATATAAACAACTAGATGTAATTATTTTATATATGCACGCGCAACATTTCAATTTAAAACTACTAATTATTTTTATTTTTCATTTGTATTTTGATATAAATCCTATCGTTTATTTTCATTTCGCGTTTTAATATAGCTACTATTTTTGCAGTCGTGCATCCATGTTTTTTCACGGAAATATCGTATCGGATAAACGTGGAGCTTATAATATCTCCGCTTTAATTATTAATCTTGATTGAATCGCCAGCGCAACGTGGAGAAAATGTGGGAATGCACGTTCCTCTTTAAGTTGTCTGATCGCCATGATAACATCGCGGTAAGGAACGTGTTTAATTTTCCACGAAATCATCTGGATAATTCAGCAATTTTAAAATCTTGACGCGATGATTTATGTCTACTCGCAATATCCAGCTAAGAAGGACGCAGGTCTTAATATCACGTTCGTCGTTAATAATCCTTTTAATCTTTTGACATACGTCTTTCATATACACGTAACGTCGCTCATCAAACTTTTAGCTAAGCTAAATTTTAAGCGACGGATCACGGGATAAATCATTATGTACTCGCAATTATTCTTGCATGCATAGCAAGTAAAGTGCTCGCAATATATAATGTGATCGATTAATCAAAATTTCTAACGTAATTTAAAAGATATAATCAGACATTGAAAAGTAATCGCGGACATTAGGAATTGTAAATTTAATGAATTAACGATTATATATGGTTTGAAACATATTTTTGACATAATTAAAATATAGAATTCTTTGCATTACTTTAATTTCTTACGTACCGAACGTAATAATGGCAGAGTCACGTAAAAGCATCCTGCGGCGGAGAACTCGAGCCTTCGATTTAGAAATTGCAACGACAACTCAACGAACTCCTGCATTCAGAGAAAAATCTCTTGCAGATTGTAATTGTGTTAAAATAATTATAATACTATACGTAGATGCAATAAAAGCACGGAAGAAGTCGAAAGAAGTTTTAGAAGAATAGATGATATTGCAATTAGAAAAGAGAAAATTTGTTGGGCAAAAATTTCTCTACTAAAAGAAACTAAGAGATAAAGCATGCAATAATGGTTTTATCTACTTACCTCATTTTTTCTCATCAGTCTTACTTGCCACTCGAATAGAATCAAGCCCATGCTATTAGCCTGGAACAAATTACGTTTATGTATTCTCTTAAAAATATTTTATAAATTATAAATTGTAAATATAATTTATAAATGCTTTTTTATAATTTATATAAAACATTTTCTTAAAAATATCCGGCTTTATTTCTATTGAATATTGATATTTTATTTTAAAAGTTTATAAAAAAACATTTTAATTTAATATTTCCATAAGTGTATCTATGTTATTTCACGTAGTAATACTCAAGGTTGCTACTTTATATCGTTATCTAAGCGTGAATGCGATACTCTGTCGTATCGCCAAGAAAGTTTTACTTGAGAAGAGGCAAAGTCGCAGGCGACGTGAAGTAGTAAAAGTTGGAAGAGAAACGCCAGCAACCAGGTACTCATGCAGTACACAAGCGGCAATGCCAGGGTATCCCACGGTTTTAGAAGTATCCACTCGATTATGAAATATATGTTAGAGACGGTATGCAGACTCAAACTGCCGATCCAAAAGAGCAGTGACAACGAGTATAGCGACTCCAAGTTCTCCGCGGCAATCATCAAATCGTTGTGCAGACTCAGGATCGTCTTTTGAAAACAGTCAAAAAGTCAAACGAATAGAATTGTCATAAACTGTCCATTTATTTATATTTATTTATCTCTGATATTAAAATTCAAAATTGAAATTAATCATAATTTCAAACAAATTTATTAATTTAAGAGGAAATAAATTCTATGAGATAAAATTAAGTAAAAATTTTAATATTTTTTTATATCATATTGTCATCATCAATTATCATTTCAACCTTCTTGCTGATGGTAGCGATTTCTTTGCTCGCAATTGACAACGATGGTAAGTTTTCCGTCGCAATTGCATTGAGGTGGCGAAATCGTTGGCCTAGAAAAATAGCCATCGCCACGAACTTGTAGATAGCTATCGACGTGCCAACGTAGGGCAGCAAATATCCCATGTTGTAATGCCACGCCTCGTGGAAGACGTACATTCCGGAGCGATTGACGGAAGTCCAGATGCTCGCGATCACAGCTACGAGGATCCACGCGACGATTGCGGTCCACATCTCTTTGCGAGGATGACCTAATTGCCTGACACCTTTATCGTAATCCTGTAGCGCGTTCCAAATTCTAACGAAGCTATGTCTCGTGAACACCGTTAAGCTCAGCTCGTACATCACGACGCTATAGTTGACGATTACCTACATGATGAGCTACTTTTAATCATTGCTTTGATATTTAGAAACTTACAGCTATTTAATTAGATTTGTTTGAAAAATTGACAAAGGTATATTTAACTGATATTGAAAACTGATTTTTATCCAAAGAGTTTATAAATAGAGAGAGATTTTTGTCTATTTAAATAAAATATATACAATTATTTATATATATATATAATATCATATAATATTTATAAAATTATATATATAAATATGACAATACATATAATTATATATACTTCCGGGAGTACTTCTCTATAACTAATTTCTTACCTTCGTGTTCTCTGTTCCTGAGAGAGCCGAGACTTCTCTCTGGATGTTCATGAACTTTTTTAACACGTCGTACAATATATAGCTGTATAGAATAGCGGCGATCGCTGTGAAGATGAGGTTGATGTTTGACGATACTAGACGGTCTTGCAAAATGTTATAAGGAGCAAAGCCAAACACTCGCACAATGTACATCATTGGCCACGTGACCCTATAAAGAGACGAGTCTAGACCGCGTAGCCTTTTGACTCGTTTCTTCTTTACCTTGGTGAATACGGTATTTACAATGAAAGAAGAAGCTCGCGACTTCATGGCCAAGGAGAAATCGATCGATGCTTGGAATCAATTAGATCTAACAAGCATAATTTCCTCGATGCCAGTCTCCGCTAATGAGACAGAACTTGCATCTGTCTACGAAACATAGATAATTATCAATTAACAGAATTTGTCTGCGTGTGAGTTTCAATGTGATAAAAGATAGAAGGATACATTCCGTTACGATTAAATTGATAATATATCATTAATATAAAATTGCAATAATAATAGCATATTGCGATAGAATAAATACATAAATATATTTGAAGAAGTCTGTAAAATTAATTTTTATGTCAGATTAAAATAAAATTTTATATATAAACTGTGTGAGTATTTAAAGTATGAATTAAAGTAGTTAAAAATACAATATAATATAATACGATATAATATTTTTCGGGTTACTCAGACTGCGCTCTATCCTGCTCATTGCGATAATCGGTATTTCTCTCACTTATATAAATTCGTTAAAGTTAATTATTTGCTAAAGTCAATTATCGCGACAAACGAACGGCGCGAAAGCAAAGTTTACGATTGCAATAAGGTCGATAAGATGTAACTTTCAATCAGGTCTATCTTCAATTTCACGAGTAAATATTGAATCAACGAAGTCCTGAAAAGTCTGTTCGTTTTTATTTTGTGTCCCGGAAATCACCGCGTTCATCGATCAATTGTATTGTTCTAGAAAATGTAATGTCGAAGAACAACGTGGAACCGCAATAAATAAAACTACAAGAAGAAAACAGAAACTGCAGAATAGATATTAGAAGAATTTACGATTAAAAAAAAAGAACAAACGTGAATCCTAGCGGTGAGGTAGAGGAAAAAAAACCGCTTTATTCCTCTCTAACCGCAGTTTCCTCTTAAAATGCAATGGATGTGATAAAACCAACTATTACTTTCAAAAATCCTGCCCGTTCTCTCGCTCTTTATTCCGAAAGTTAAGCGAATTTTAACAACGCCCTAGAGCTATTCCGGTGTTGTCGTAAAGCCGAAACTTTTTCCACGGTCTCGACGTCAACTTCCCATCGACGGGTACGTTATAAATCCCAAAAAATATATAGCTCGAGAGAGAGAGAGAGAGAGAGAGAGAGAGAGATGGTGGAGAGTGAAAAAATAAAAAGATTTACATAATCTCGAAGACAGTAAATACCGCATGAAATTCAGCATCCCAAAAGCAGCAGCGGCCGTTTCGCTGTAAGTCCAATATATTTACGGCGATTTATCTTTCACGACTGTCCGTCGTAAATCATTTCGCCGCGTAAATTGGAAACTTTCGGCAACGATTCCGGACTTGTGTGTACTCACAGCTCGAGACCTCGAAACGCATCGATTGTTCCGGATGACGTCGTAAGAACTAGGAGGATTCGGCGTTTCGTGAACACTTTCGTCGCGTACGATAAAATGGGAGCGATTCGTGTAAACATACCTGTGACGGGCACACAAATGTAAAGGTATACGTGCGAATGTCACCGTTAAATATTATTCTACGTCGGCCCCGAATGAATAATTGAAAGAGTGGAGAAAAATAACAGGTGGAGGCAACCCCGGTCGAAGTGGATGCGCTCTGTATAGCTCGGGATGACTGGACAACTGTAATTGTATCGCAAGAGGTGGCCTGTTAGTATTCAAGGCCATGCCGTGTCGTCGGTTACCGATTCTATTGCGTCTCCATGACACCTCTATCCTCTGATTCTCACGTGTACTTTTGTAGCGAAGAGCATGAATGTACAATTTATTTTGCGCCTTCGGACACGAAGAGTTTACTGAAAAATATTATTTCGTGAGATAAAATAATTTGGAGATAAAAGACCTATTTTCAGAGTACGGAATATCTGTTATTGACAAATAAATTAAATAAAATAATTGAAAATGATTAAAATAATGATAAGCGTTATTAAAATACGTACATTTATAGTATTGGAATCGAAAAGTATGAGATATGCGTAAAATTATTATTTGTGATAAATAAGTATTTTTAAACATATATTTTTGTATGAAATAATTGTAATAAATATGTTGTATATACGTTTTCATAAAACATGAAATAATAATTGAGTTTTAATATTAAGGATTATAACACATATAAAATAATAATTAAATGGTAATATAAGCGTTTCTAACTTGGAAAAACAAGAAGAGGCGTCGAATGTAGGCGAGCACGAGCAAATAACACGATATTAGACAGAAAAAATCTAGGATATATCTAGGAGAACTATTTCATTCGGACAACGCTCCCAAGAAATGTAATTTAACGCGAATGGACGATATGTGGACGAGTGCTTGAAAGAGCGAAAAGAACGAAGCGTATTTTCATATATTTCCTCAACGAGAACGAGTGATGAAATCACATACCAACTCCAAAAATAATGCAAACGGCAATGAATAAATTCTTCTTAGTAATTCTTCAGTTTATGAGAAATAATAAATATTAAGATCAAAAAAGAGAAAGAGAGATAATTATTTAGGTAATAAAATTGTTTAGATTTCTTTCATCAATTATCGGTGCTTAGAGCTAATGAGATCAATAATCGAATAAATATTGTTATAATACAATATAATATAATATAATGCAATATAATATAATACAATATAATATAATATAAATAAAATATAAATTAATATAATATAATATAAATAATATAAATAATATAACATAAATTAAAAACAATAATTCTTCTTGATGGCAGAAAGAAATTTCAGTAGATGTCTAGCAAAACATTTACTGCAGCATGCATATTAATGTGCATATAATCATACGCGTAATATTCCAGAATGAATAAATAGCACGATATTACATCGTAATAAAGATATTAAGTGATGAGTTTAATTTAAGGGGAATTGTAGCAGCAGGTACTTTCTTTGATCTTGTCATTGTGTTGGCCTCTTTCAGGAAGCTCTTTCAGGACGCGGTTGGGCGAAAAAGAGAACAGTCAGAAGGTCGAAAGAAGAGAATGAAAAAGAAAGGCTTTTAAGGACAATGCTGTGAATGCTGGCGGCGAATACTGTGTCGCTGTTCCCATTTCTCATGCAATTAGATAGAACCGACAAAAAAACACTTGGCGACGACACGACCGCCATCCAGGAATTGCGCGCATATTAAAGAGAGTACACACATGTCATGAAAAGAACGTGTATTAGCGAGCGACAAGTCGCGAACATAAGCGCTCGGCTCAGCTATCAGTGATCTCGGAGTGAAATGCAAGATAAGTAGTTTGTCATATTTCGTTCGCACCTTCGTTTCGAATGAAACTTGACATAAATGAAGAGAGAGAGAGAGAAAAAAGAAACTAAATCGTTTTGTCTCAGGTCAAAAAGTTATTTTAAAAATACAATCTGGAATAAATTGAATTCTTAGCAATAAGAAGATACGTAAAAATTCACTCTATTTAATTTATTATATATATATATATTATATATATTATTATATATATTATATATATATATATATGTATATACATACAAACGTATAATATATATAATAATATATATAATAATATATATGTATATACATACAAACGTATAATATATATAATAATATATATTATATATATATATATATATATATATACAAACAATAACAAATTAAATTTTTTAATTT